GCGGCAGCCGCCTCTCCGGGAAGAGGAATCCGGTCTGCACATCAGCACATCTGAACTGAAAGGGGAGACCGAGGAAGGGGGTGGGGGCCAGGCGCGTCTGCCGCGAGACCTTAAAAGCCTGCAGGAGCCAGAGAAGCCACTGACTGCAAGGAGAGCAAGTGTGAGGATTTGGGGATGCACTGTTAGCCTTTTTCCCCCTGGGCAGTCTTTTTTACCCTCTTCGTAACTTGAAAAAAAAAATTCTTCGCAGCATCTAACCCAATCACTGGCATCCTGCTTACTTATTCATACAATCAGGGTCAGGATCAGGGCCACAGCCTCCTCTCTGACTTCTTTTGATAGCCTTATACAAACAAACAGGAGCGCGCTCACGATTCCATTTCTATTTTACTAAAGATAAAAATGCATAAATTATGAGTATCTGCATCCGCGAAAAGCAATTAATAGATGATGAATGTGTCAGTTGAGGGTGCCAGACCGGGGGTGGCGAGAGGCATCTGACAACTTAGCTGCAATTTTTTCCCCCTTATCCCAAATAAACAGCGATTGTGTATTTCTTTCCTTTGCTGCTGTTTTGCCTTCTTGCAGCCCCAGCAAAGAGAAAAATGATCTGACCCTTCACAGTTTAGGTAAGGAAATACACTACATGAAAGTCTCCCACCCCACAAAGTTTTGCTCAGAACTAAGATCTGCAGAACTGCATTTTTTAAAAAATCCAAAATCGAGTTATAGGTTGCAGCTGCAGCGACTGCAGCAGCAGGAAATGCTAAGACCTTGCTGATGGGCCGGCGCTGTGGCTCACGTGGGCACAGGAAGGGAAGTTGGGTGGAAGACTGACTGAGCGAGCAAATTTTCTGTGACAGTTCTGGCGCCCAAGCCTGAGTTGCTCGGTATCCTTAGGCTTCACTTGTTTTACTTCGAAGGAGCAGAATGTGTAAAACCCGGCAGCTGGATCCTTGGAGGTAAACCACATGTCAGCCCAGCAGACTCAAGACAAACACAGGTTGTGGGAAGTTGAGAAGGGAAAGCTATCAGAGGAAATCTCTGCAAAAGCCTTGGTGTGAGCAATTCAGAGGTTTCCCCACATCTGCAAGTCATGTCCAAAATAGGTGAGATGACTGCTCTCCCAAGCTTCCAGGGGGCTGGGGATTGGGAGCTTTGCTTTTCCAGCTAAATCTTTAGCTGTCACTTTAGCAGGGACTTGTAAAACAGCTTTCATTTACCTCGTTATTTGACAAAACAGCCTGCTTTGCTTTCCAAGTTACTATCAACCTACAAAGTCACATCTAGAGAGAGAAATCTGACAGACCCCACCCCTTCCCCCAACACACATATCCCTTTGACAGGTAGAGCTAGTTGTTTGGAAATTTTGACCAGCTTTTACCACGGTTGTTGCAGGAAAGGAATAAGCTAAATCTTGAAGAACTATCAACTATTTTCACCATAAACTAAAATAGTAGTAGGACTAGGCGGAACTGAACTGATTTAGTGTTCTTCCCAAAACAGGGGGGCCCTCTCAGAGACCACTGCAATGATGAGCTGCCTCCCAGTAGATCTTAGACTTTTAACCCCCAGGACACAGAGCAGACAGCAGACTCCAAAAAGAACGTGTTCAGTGAGCAGGTAGAGGCATTGCTTTTGAAATCTCTTGCTGAGTCATTCTCAAATTCTTTCACCCATCAAAAAAAATGTTTGCATAATTAATAATTGTGTTGCTCTAGTGCAGGGCTCAACAAGAATGTGTGCTGCTTAGCCTATGTGAGAGTTCGGACAAGGCAAATGCCCTTTGGGTACCCTGCTTTTGAGCTGCTGACACCATGAGGCTCATACCCCAGACCTTGGCAGTGTCCCTTGTTCCTAGGCATGCCTGAGAACATCTCCATTCTCCACAAACTGATTGATCAAATGTGAGTTTGCAAGACTTTATACATGGAGTTTGCTTCAGTAGCACTTTACTGTGGCTGGAATGAGCTTATTTCATTCATTCATTCTGGAGGAGAGATGTCCCCACAGAGGGACACTGACTAAGTATATAATGATTCTTATGTTTTCCTTGCAGATTTATCTTTGCTTAGTCTCACAATTTTATCAGTTTGCAATCCAGAAAGTTAGAATGATTAACATAGTAGAAGCTCAGATCAAAATACAAAAATGCTTCCTTTTAGCTAAAATACTTGCAGAGAGTGGTTACATCACAGTATCTTAAGCCTTCGGGCCGGGGATTTATCTCAGTGGTTCCAGCGCCTGACTTGCAGGTGCAAGGGCCCCAGTTTGATCCCTGGTACCAAAAAAAAAAAAAAAAAAAAAGTTCAAAATAATACTTTAAGCCTTAACCTTGGATTTATTTTTAAATTTTAGATATAGTCAATCTAACCCTAAATTTATAGCAATAAAACACCTACTTTTAAACTTCGTTTATTCCTGTAGTTGCTATAATTATAAATTACAAGTAGATTTTATCATGTCCATGAACAAAACATAAATTTGGAAGAATATGCCTGTGGTTAGAAAGAGCTCAGTATTGTTAAAGAGCATCCATAGGGGTAACAGAAATGAATTCAGTCTCCTCAGGAAAGAAGCGATCAGATAGGTGGTAATGATGCTCTCTCTGGCTTCTGGATGGCGACTGCTCTTGAACACCTGGGTACTGCAATAGAACCTCAGTCCTCAGTAACAGTACGACATGAAGCCACCTATCATTTTCAGGGCAAGTGAAAAATTCTGTGCTGACTGTCATATCCTGTTTGCTATCTCAGTCATTAAAATAGATGTGCTCTGTAAATAATGTCAGTTAGAAACGTCTATTTTCTAATCAATTTGTGAGGTTCTGGATGAGAGTGTTTATGACACCAAGTAATACATGAATATAGTACCTTCCCATCTCTGTAAAGTGGAACTGAGAAAAGTCAAAATTTCATTCAGTATACAAATGAAACATACTGTACATGGATGAAATGTACTCATTCCTGCTCAGTAAGTGATGCATAAACAAACTCAAAGTGCAAACTCTTTCAAAAAGGTGAGCTTCTCTCCCCTACCCTAACTGCACCCCTTTCTATGACCTAAAAACTATTAGGCTGTTACCCAAGTAGACTAAATAGATTGACTCCTATGAAACTGTCATATCTGTCCATCAAAAAAGCAAATATTGGCAATTTCGTGTTACTTCAAAGCTTTAAAAAACTTGCTCTATGTTAAAGACATTACTCTTAATGGAGCTAGATATCTCAGTCAAATACTTTCACACGAAGGGATGATTCTCTGAGCCTCAATAACTTTGACTTCTACATTTTCTGTCTTGGTTTGGTTTGGTTTTAAATTTTAGTCTACAATTTTAATGTCACATTACTTTAGATATCACCACTGTAGGATGTTCCAAGTCTTGATAATTAGAATGATATTCAATCAAATCTGACCTTACTACTATTTCCGAAGCAATGTATATTGTTGTCATGAAAAAAGTTATCAGCTAGCAATATTTGCCTCAACACAAAGGTGTGAAAGTTTTTGTTTGCCTATTAGGGAAAAAGCATACTCTTCCCCAGGGTAGAATAAAAGACTAATTCTTTCTGCTGCAAAAATTCTTGCAGACTGGTCTGAGTAGAAGCCACTTAGCTAACAGCATGGTGATCTCTTAATACTGTGTTATACGACCCTTCCTCTCTACCATTCCTCACTGCAGGGCACAAAGTTGTCCTTTATTTTCATGGTTTTACTTCACACTACTTGCTTCATGGATTAAAAAATATGGATAAAGCATACTCTACGCTATATTTACCATGCAAGGAGAAGAACAAGTTCAAAAATGTAACAATAAAGTTCCAGCAGCTTCTTATGAGAATGTCCAAACTTCAGCAGGCAAATCAGGCCAATCCAGATCAAACACTCACTAGTTTTTGATGATCTTATGCTATTTTAAAGATAGAAAGTTGAAATTAAAATGAATGAGTCATTTGTGAACATACTAAGGCCACCTCATAACCCCTACCTGTGTACTGGGTCTTTGAGGTGCCCAGGCTGCGGGGTCTGCAGTTATGCTCCTATTGTTGACAAGACTGATTGGTGGTCAGCAGCCTCTAACCTCATTTAAACCTTAAACCCCAGTGCATTGTATCCCTCATAATTCCCTAGGTTTTATTCTAGCTATGAGTGCCTTGCATTCAAGTAAGTTATTTGTCTCATGGAGGATAGAAGCAGCATCATTTCCATGCATGGATTTCACAAAATATTCTGTATGCACAGGATGCAAAATAAAATTTTTACTCACAAAAATTAAATCGAGTACAATTTCACCCATTTAAATAATAGTACAATATTCCATCATTGGAAATATATAACACTAGAATATGAATAAAAATTAATTTTGAAATCTATATATTTAGTATAAAACCAGTCTCTAAAATTGGAAAACTTTCTTAAATCTTCACTGCTCTACTTGTTAAATGTCTTTGGACCCTTATTCTTCTTAATTTGACTTTTCTAGCTTTGAAATAAAATGCTGACCTCATGTGTTAGCTTTCCATCACTATAGGAAATACCTGAGGTGATAGGTTTATAAAAAGAAAAGGGTTATTTTTGCTCATGATTTTGGAGACTGGAGTTCATGCATGCTTGGCCCTGTTGCTACTTGCTGGGGTGAAGCAGCATCTATGGAGGGAAAAGCATAGAAGAGAAAATCTTT